TTTGAGGAAATCTTTAGAGTTCAGAAAAATTCTGCTGTCCAGGATAAGTTATCTCACTCTTCTCTTTGTTCTCTGCCTCACATCTCTGTGTGTTTCTTTCCCTGCCCCCAACACTGTAATATACCTGACGTGGCTAGACAGAGCACATGAATGCACAGAGGGCAAAGGATGGCAGGTCCAGGCCTCATGACTCCCCAGTTTTTCAGGCTACAAATCACAGCACAGATTCTGGCAGATATGTTCACAATGCTGGAAGTAATAAGGCCGGCTATTTTATGCTAGACTGTCTTAGAGCATAGAAGATAGCAACAGTACTCCATCTAGGTAAATGGAGCAGAGGAGAACCAGGTCGTGGGGACCACAAGGGAAACAAGAAGATATTTGGGCCATGACTGACTCTGAAATCCCATTGGTCCTGGGGGGATTTCAGAGTTAAGAACCCCATTCTGATGAATAGTTATTTAGGGGAGTCTCATTACACAGTATAACCTCTGCCAACTTCTCAAATAAATGATTAGCGAATGACTTTGAGTGATTTCCAGCCAGGTTTATGGAGCTGGCCTCCAGATTGCTAATGTTAGAAGCAACCCAGGAAAGAAGTAATTAAGGACAGTTGCCGTAGCTTGCTTTGCTCAGGGGCACATTCTGTGCTCGAAATGAAATTGGAATTTTCAAAACACAATCAAGATCTCCTCTGCTGTTTTCTAGTTTCTGCTCAAGCCCCTGGGTTTCTGCCTTTAATACTGTGGAAATGAAAACGGACTCCTTGATTACTCATGGCCTCACGTTGTTGCTTGTGTTTTTTCCAAGAAGCATGCTAATTGCTCTATGGAACAGAAGAGGAGCCACCAGGATGTCTCTGGGTAGGGCCAGATTGTTCATGAGCAATCTCTCCAAACCACTCATAATGGACTGAAAACAATCTATTTTGAGGTTGGAGTATGGGAAGTAATTGTTTTAATGCATCGAGTTTCAATTTTTGTCTAACAAACTTTTTAAAATTGGATTTGGTTCTTTCAAAGATGGTGTGGTAGGTAAATAGTGCCACTGTTAGGTTTATAGTTCATGGCCTAAAGGAACATTGGAAGCTGGGGGTGGCTCAGTGGATGGTGCACTTGCTACATAAGTGTGAGGACTGGAGTTCAGATCTCCAGAACTCACATAAAAAACTGGGTGGGTGTGACAGCCTGCCTGTGATATCAGTGCTTGGGACCACAGACAGAGGTTCCCTGGGTCTTAGTTAGATGGGTGAGCTTAGGAATCAGTGAGAGGCCCTGCTTCAGTAAATAAAGTTAGAAGGCAATTGAGGAAGACAGTTAATGTCAACTTTCAGCTCCCATACTCACCTACACATATGTGTCTGCAACACATGCAAACATGCATACCTACACAAAACACACACATACACACACACACACACACAAGCATCGACTTCTCGTTATGTTTAATGAGTGAGCATTTCATAAACATTGTGAAGCGGGAGCTGGAACGGACGTATATGAGCAAACCCATTCATTGTTCATGCCTTGACTTCACAAGTCAGACACAGTGTTGAGGGGGGTGTTCTGACGTTAAGCTTAGCAAATTGACAAGCGCCTGGCTTTCGTGGCAGTTTTGGTATCTCCCCATCTCTCTGCACTGTGCTAACAGTGTGGCCACCCTTCTTCCTCACTCTGGTCCAGTCAGAAGGGCTGGGGCTCTTCTTCCTTGTGCATCTTTCCAAGGACTCCATGGCTTGACCGTCATAAGAATCACTTCCCTTTGATTCTTAGTCTAGAGAAAAACTACTACATATAAATTCCAATTAAATTAGACACCGACTGTCCTAGAACTGGCCTACTGTTGCAAGTAGGCACTCAGGGATCATCATCACCCCTTGCCAGTCTTACCCCACAGGGACATTTTCCCTGTCTGCTGACCTCAGGCTTGTTTGAGTGAGGCATAATGAGATTTTTCTTCCGATAACCTGCTCAAGGCAGGACAGAAATGGACTAAGTGGGGATATAGGCATCTCTTTTCCTGCTTTTGTGAATGGCTTCAGAAAACAATGAGATGGGATCTTGACATGGCCAGGTGGTCTTGCCTCAGGAGTTGAGTTTCTTGTTAGAAGTGACCTGGATCTTTTTTATTTTAATCTCAGTAGGGGTTAAGTACTTGTTGAGTGGACTTGGCCCCTGAAACCCCCTACACACTCATCCTCTTCCCTTGGGGCTACCTTCTGGGGAGTCTCTACAGACAAATACCATGTAGGATATCACTGTACATTTTCTTTTCTTTTTTCATTTTGGTTTTTTGAGACAGGGTTTCTCTGTGTAGCTTTGTGCCTTTCCTGGAACTCACTCTGTAGCCCAGGTTGGCCTCCAACTCACAGAGATCTGCCTGCCTCTGCCTCCCAAGTGCTGGAATTAAAGGCGTGCACCACCACCACCCGGCTTCATTGAATAGGTTTCCCTTGTAACTTCTTGATAAGGGTATTTTCAAGATAGATGTAGCACAGATTCTAATTAGTCTTAACAATAAAAACCTGGAGTTTGAGTTCGATATTAAGGTGAAAGCTGGAAGATTAGAGAAACAAAGGAACAAACCCCAGCCAACTCTTACCTCGCCAACTCCTCAGCCTGAAAGGGAGCCGAGCTCCTGTCTCCACCCTGCCTTATTACTTCTTCTCTCTGCCCAGCCATATCACTTCCTGTTTCCTCCTCCGAAGTGCTAGGATTAAAGGTGTGTGCTTCCACTGCCTGCCTTCTATGGTTAACTAGTGACTAGCCGTGCCCTTCGATCTCCAGGCAAGCTTTATTTGTTAGAGCACAAACAAAATATCACCACAGGGAAGGGAAAATAACATTGGTTGTGGTATGCTACATTTTGCCAGATGTCTATGACAGAATGACACTAGTAGTTTTAGTTTCAGTCCTAGTCAGCTTCAACTGTCAATTTGATACAGCCTAGAGTCACCTGAGAAGATGGTCAGATTGGCCTTGGAGCATGCCTGTGAGGGACTGTCTTGATTGCTAATTAATGTGAGAAGGCCCAGGCCACTGTCACTGTAGGCAGCACTATACCTAGGCAGGTAGTCATGGGCTATATAAAACCCATGGCTAAGCATCAGCATGGAATTGGTCCAGCAAGTAGCAGTTCTCCAAGGAATCTGCTTAAAGTTCCTGTTTGAGTAACTGCCCCATGTTTTTTCGTTTTGTTTTAACTTAAATTTTTTATTAAAGATATTTTCATGTAATATATTTTGATCATATTCTTTTCCCTCTCCAAATTGTTTACAAATCTATAGAATTCATTTGTAAAGGTTGACTACTCCTGGACATGGGGCCTTCCCTGGAGTGTAGTTGATATACTCAGAAGTACATCATTTGAGGAAACGAATGTTCCCTTTCTCAGCTGGTATCAATTACTAGTGTCTTGGTTAGGGGTGGGACTTTGTGTCCACTGGGAATTTGTCTGTTTTGAACCTATGTAGATCTTGTGCATGCTGTCCCAGTCTCTGTGAGTTCATATGTGTTACTATGTGCCCCGATTTCTTTCAGTGATGTTCCGTGACCTGTAAGCTGAAAGAAACCCTCTCTTTCCCTAAGTTGCTTTTGGTCAGAGTGTTTTATTCCAGCAATGGAAAGGAATAATGGCAGCCACTTTCTTCCTCCTCCTTTTCTTCCTCTTTCTTTGAGGTAAGTAGAGCTCTTACAACAGTATATAACTTACAAAATTAGATATGCATTTGGAAGTCCTTGGTTTTGAAAACACCCAGACTCTTGAAGACAGCATTAGGAAGCTTCTTGGTACATTTGAATTTATAATAATAATTTTCTAGAAAACTTCATTTTTCTAGATAGAGCAAATATAAACATGGTAAATTCCACATTAATGAAGTCTGAATTTATGAGATTATATTCTTTTGACTATCCTGCACTAAACATTTCATACCAGATTATGAGTTAGTTAAATATAAAATCTTTAAGCCAACTTGGAATTTGTCACTGAACTTTTCATATGAGAAACTGAAATTGTGGGAGGGAACTAATTTGTCTAAATATAATTTCTAATTTCTGTGGTGCTATTTCAGTGTAAAGATAATAACACAAAGTAGAAATTGTCCTTTAGTAGACAGATGAAGGTAATTACAGTGATTATAATAGATGCGGGCAAATATTCGATGAATTGACTAATTTAGTTCACATTACAAAAACTATTAAAGCTGGAACATTAAGTTATAAGTGAGTAGTGTTTATGGAAAGTCATACAGCACAAATATATTTGAAGTGGCATATTCATAGGAAGCCATTTTTACTGACCCAAATTCATGCTGCATGCTCAGAAATGATACCTTCTATGCTCTTCCATGGACTTTCTGTTTGCCTTTGCTCCCTCCTGCCTCTTAAAACCTCTTTCTTTCTCCCTGAGTACTTATCCCTCCTCCTTTGCAGGGTACAGATGGTAAGAAATTGCCTAGTGGTCACAGACAAGATATTGAGAACACAAACCTTCACTTTCTCAAAATATCTTGCTTCTTAATTCTTGTCTTTAATTCTTCTGCTGCCTGGAGATACACAGCACTGCAGAATATCCATGGGGCAGGGTGTCAATGCACCAGACTTGGGGTCATCCGGTCTGCTCGCTGGCTACTTCCTACTTCCAGGATTTCCTTCTGGTGCATCTTTTCGGGGACTCCTCCTCTGTGAGGTTGAGCTGGCCCTGGATGCAGCTGGAGCACCCTGCCTGCTCAGCCTGTGCGCCTCTTCTCACTTCCTTCTCAGAATTGATACTACTTTTCAGCAACCCTTGCAAATGCTTTTTCTAAAAATGTTCTCCGCAAAAGCAGACTCCTAATTATCCCTTCTGAAGCAGATGGCCTGGTGCCACCTGTTCCCCTCGCCTCTTCTCTTCCGAAATAAAATTTCCTCTTGACCAAACTCCCTTGATTTTACGCTGGTGTCGCATAGCCTTGGACAAATTATGCAGCACACTTAAATCACATCTAATTACCACCTCTGTCAGCAGGACTTGGTACCAAGAATGGAAGTGGGAGAGACCCGGAAAAAAAAAAACATGGAAAAATCAGCTGTTGGGGAGGAGAAGCAAGGAATTCAAGAGGCTGTCTTCTCTCTGGAAGGACTGGGAATCCAGGAGATCAATCCTAACCTACCCCCCGCCAAGTGAGTAACCCAAAAGCTGGGTTCTGCCTAGGCTATTGAAGAAGCAGCACAGGCCCCAGCTTGGCAGGGCTAGTTCCATGGTTCCGGGAAAGACACATAGAAACAGGGTTACTCAGCTCTGTGGAGGAGTGTGGGGTAAGGAAGGCCACAGCGAAGGTTTTGTTCGACAGCCATAGGAAACCCTATGTTGTTATTAGACAATGTCCAGTATCTGGTGTGTGGTGTTGTTTCAAATATCTTTCCTGAAAAAAAAATTAACTTCTGAGTTGTTTTATTTTTATTTTTCAGTGGTTCCAAACTATTTTTCCCTTTTTACTTCAGTAATTTTCAAGTCCTTGAAAGATGTAACATGATTTCTTAAGTTTGATCCAAGTCAAACCTAATGAACTTCTGCAGAGAAAGTTTTCTTTTGTTTGCTTGTCTCTTTTGAGACAGGGTCTCATGCTATAGTCCAGACAAATCTGGAACTCTTAAGAAATCTTTCTGCCTCTGCTTCTTGAGTGCTAGGATAACAGATGTGAATTTACACACTTAGCTGGAAATATATATATATTTTTTTAAGAATTATAACCTGAATTGGGGCTGGAAAGGTGGCTCAGAGATTAAGAGCTGTAGCTAGTCTTCCAGAGGACCTGGGTTCAATTCCCAGCACCCACATGGTAGCTCACAACCATCTGAATGAAATTCCAGCTCCAGAGCATCCAATGCCCTCTTCTGGCCTCCATGGGAACTAGGCATGCATGCTGAGCACAGACATATGTGAAGGCAAAACACCCACATACATACATTTTTAAAATTAAAAATACAAACATAACCCACATATCCTAAGTTCCAGCTACCTAGGGGCCCACAAATAAGGGTTAATGAGTACATTAGTGAACTTCTCAAAACTACTGGTGTGCCATCCTGATGGCAACTTTCTTGAAAACATACAGAGAGAGAGAGAGAGAGAGAGAGAGAGAGAGAGAGAGAGAGAGAGAGAGAGACACCCTTGGGGCAGTCTAGAAGGTAAAATTATTTACTGGTCCCAGTAAATCTGTATTCATATCTCGGTCCTAGCTCCTTTCCAGGAACTGCCCCTTCCTCTCTTCCACTGGAAGTTCTTTTTAGTTCACCACCCTCCTCTACCTGCAACTTAAAGTTAGGGTCCGCCCACCCCACCCCACCCCGGCTGCTGCTTCTGTGTCATTGATAACATGTCTGGCTCGTCACACAAGAAAGTAAGAACCTTGGGATCAGCAGTGCATCTTGGGCTTGGTTGTCACCAAATGCCCTTGCTGCCCAGCACAGTGCTGAGTAAGAGCGGGCGCCAAAGGGACTGTGCTGAATTAGTAAGAACGCCAGGGCTGGGCCCCAGCTCCCTTTCTTTGTTTTTTTTGTTTTGTTTTTGAGGGGGGTGCACAATATTGAGATATTAAGAATGTGCTTTTAAGCAAAGGGCATTGCACCAGCAGGCTGCAGGGTCATCACGACCACCATGGCTGTAATGGAAACCCCCCTCTTAATGATGCTGAAAGTGTCAGGCCTAGAGATGGGCATCCATCTCCTTACACCAAGGACCAAGCACATTACCGTTATGCTTCATTCTACTGCTCCTGGCTCTTACATTTGAAAAAAAAAAAAAAGATGCTGAAGTACCTGTGAAATGGGACACAGAAGTAAGATTTTGAAATGAAGTAAAAGAAGAAAATTGTTTCATATATGTGCTATGTATATGAATCAACCACTAACAAGTTAAGTCTCATAACCTCAGCTTAAAGACTAGAACATTGAGCAAATAGACCATCATCCACATATGTGTTCTTTTTTCATGCCAGGCCCTTGTCTTTGCCTCTGAGATTAAACACTAACCTCTTGAGTTTGGCATTCAGCATCCATATTTGCTTTGATTTTATACAGGGAGGAAGAAAGGCCAGAATGTGACTGGGGCACACCCCCAAGGGACTATGAGTAGACACATACCTTATCTGTAAACCTTCACCTGTACTTACACAGTATGGCTCACTGTTGATCTATTCATTAATTTCATATATACTGTGTATTCTTGCATCCTAGACTTTGTGTTTACTTCTGGGGATGCATCCCCAAAAAGGTAACAGTTCCAGAGCTCATGATCTGGTAGAAGACATAGACAACCAAGTTTGTCATTGCACACAGAAGGGTGCCATGGAAGACTCTGAGGACTCATACAGGGGCTTCAGGTGAGACAAGTGGATAACCAGAAATGTAAACAGATTCCTGCAGTAGGAGCAAAGCTTGCCAACAAAATTCAGGATGATGGGAAGTGGCATTTTTGAAATTCATGGGTATGTAAATCTTGGGGTATTTGGGGCAGGGGGAAGTACATGGAAATCAAGAGAGAGGAGTGTGATAGACAGTCTAAGAATGGGGGTAATGAAGCTCAAAAAGAGAACCTGGGTGGTCATTAACCCAAATGTCTTCTGTGACCTCAGATATTAGGAGCTATTGGTTAATATACAAATCTTTGCACAGGATACAGCTCAGTAAAGTACATGCCTAGTGTGCACAGGCCCTTGATTCAACAGAGCCACAACAAAATCCTGATCTCTGCATTTAAGATTAAGAATCACAAGCTCTTGAGAAACAGAACAGAAATGTAGGATTATACACACACAAAGAACACAAAAATGATAACCACAGTACACAGATGACCAGGTTGTAGATCACGGTTATATTGCAGGCCTATATGCAACCCTGAAGAAATATTAGGCTGGTGGTATTCACTACAGTGTGGTCTAAGCTGGGTCTTCATCACAGTGTTTAGGTGCTTTCTTGACAAAGGCAAAAATAATCCCACATTAAATAACTGTCATACTTGTGATTTCTAACCTCCTAAACAATGGCTGTAGAATTACTTTGTTCCAAACCTGTCTGCTGCCAGCTCTCTTAAATAATATTCTTGAAGATAGTGCTGACCTATAAAACTTTCTGCAGTGGTGAATTATGTTCTCGAAAGCTACAGAGACTAGGAAATCAAGCAGTCAGTACCACTGAGGATGGGGACCAGCATTAAATGAGGAAGCAGGAGAAGATGGTGCGCATGTGCGCTGCAGGGAAGCCTGTCTGAGTAGGGGAGTTAAGTGCATCCCTGCACATGGTGGTTGTGGGTGTGAATCTCTCCCCTTACCTCTCCTGAAATGTTCCAGTCATACCCCTCCATCACCTGCCTGACTTGTCTCTTCCTCCTGCGGCTTGCTCTGCTGCAAAGATCTTGTTTTTCTCTTTTACTCTTTAAAAACGCTTTTTAAAGTTAGTATACAAAGTAATGTTACATTATGGCATTTTCATACATAGATATCGTTGTACTTAGGTCATATTCGCTGTACCCTCCCCCTCCCCTGTCTCTCCTCCCACCCCTCACTGGCTTCCTTACTCCCCACAAACAGTCCGTGTGCCTTCGTGTCATACTATACAGTCCTCACATATAAGAGACCACACAGCATTAGACATTGTCTTTCTCCACCATCACCCTCTGTTCGTTCTTTCCTCCTCCCTTACACCCCTTCCTTTCTGCGCTCATAACTCTCTGTCACTCCCCCCCCTTCTGGATTGCACACGTGGAAGGAAACATGGCGTCTCCTCTCCCAGGGTCCCCCGACTTCGCTTTTGGATGAGGTAGTCTGCTGTTTCCTCTGCCCCCACATGAACTCGGCAGAGCGAAGCCTGCGTGAGCTGCGTCCCTCTTTCTGCTGAGTCACCCTCTGGGCCGCCACACTTTGCAGCTGTCCATTACTCCCTGAGTGATTTCTAGTGCTCCTCCAGTCCTCTTCTCTTCGCCATGTTCTGGGTTATTAGGGTTCTTCTCGTTTACCGTGTCCAAAGGAGGCAACTTCTAGCCCAATGTCTTACCAAGTCTCTCTCTGGTCTCTTGTTTTAAGCCCCCAGAGCCCGTCTCCCGCACATCCTTCTCCAGCCACTGGCCATCACCATCACTTCCTCTATGCTTGCTTCCCATGCGCGTGGTGTCAACGCAAAACCATGGTTCTGATCTCAAAATGAAGAAGAGATGGTTCATTCTGGAGCCAAGTGTGAGTGACCATGGTCGAGGAACATAGGTTCAGATTGTCCCAAATATCACGTTCCGATGTGGCAGTGGTTGCATGAATTTTTTTTTACTGTAGCACAGCAAAGAAAATCATAAATGAGCACACTTCAGATACATTGGTGAGTGTCTCATGCAGGTGGGTCACATGCTTCTGATGCTAATGATGGCATTGTTAGCTTTGGGGCTGGTATTAGTTGTCCATTCATGTATTCCCAAGGATTTACCTGGTGGTCACAGGATGTTGGCTCACTTACACTGGGTGGAGTGAGGCATAAAATGACTATCAAGGGAGCTAAAGATGGCCCAAGATAATTTGGCTCTGGACTCACAACATTCAAACCTCTCCACATCACTGATGTTCTCATCAGTCTTTGCAGTCAATCACAGCTTCTTTCTGGGAACTTCCGCCCACGGTGGCCCTGCTTCCACCAATGTCAGTCCTACCTGTCTGCCATGACCTGTGCAGCTTTGGCCCACTCTGAAGGACTTCCTACTGGTCATCTAATGTGTCTTCGCTCTTTCCTTCTGGGTGCTGGTCTGCACAGAGAAGGTTCTCTGTTAATGTCAGTGAGAACACTCTGCGGAGATGGATGCAAAGAGTTCCATTGGCTCTGGGGTAGTGTCTGCAATGATAGAGGCCCAGCACCCTCTAATGACCAGGATAGTTCATCAGAGCAAAAATGTCACTTGTCTTTGGGTAGCTCCCCTTGTCGTGTATCTCCAGTGGACCTTGGGTCTCCTTGGACAAGCAAACTGATGATTATGGGAAAGGTGAAATCTTCTTGGGAAAGAAGGTCACTAGAGGATTAGTTTAGACCTTTCCCCTCAGCCTTTGGTAAGAAGAGAAGCCAAGGATGATGTTCCTTCAGTTTGCTTGCTTATGAGTGTAACCTGGACAAAAGGACTTACAAGTAAGTGAATGCAAACCCACTGACTATAAAGCAAAAGTAGAGCTCAAGGGGGAAAGAGTAAGCACCTGACATTCCCGGGAGGTGGATGAGGATAACAGTTTCCCCCAGATGTTCTAGCTAGCAGGTTACCATCACGCTCACCAGGGCTTGACTGTTGAGGCACTTTCAGCAATGCTCTGGATGTAGGTCCAGCAGGTCCCCACTCAGGATGGACTTGTTCATGATACCGCACTGGATATGGTAGCCTAGGCCTATAGTCCCAGCACTCAGGAGGCTGAGGTAGGAGATATATCATGAGTTCAAGGCCAGCCTGGGTTATATAGGGAATTCCAGTCCAGCCCAGACTAAAGAGTGAGATCCTGTCTGGAAAAAAAAAAAAACCCTCCAAATCAAACAAAAAATAATAATACTTACTGGTATTTATTGAGCATTTGCCTTGTGTAAGATATCCACCTGAGCTCTTTATATGCATAAAGCCATTTAATTTTTATGTCAATTTTGTGTAGGGTTTGCATCTGAGAAACTGTGGCCTAGAGAGGACAGCTATCTTTCCTAGGGAATCTCAGCTTCATTTGGGCTATCAGTATGGGGACCAGGCCATAGCTAGGAGCCATTGTTAGCTGGATTCCCTAATAGAGAGATTTTGAAGAAGTATGTGTACATCCAGTTTGTTCTTTTAGATGGTCTTATGGGCTGTTGTGGTTTGAGTATGGGATGCCTCATGCAGGCTTGTATGTTGAAAGATTGGTCCCTGGCAGGCTTTCAGAGAGCCTCGGTAGATGCGGTAGATGTAGTAGATGCAGTAAGTCCAGAGAGTGGGTCTGCAAACAGTATCCTGTTCCTGATTCCTTCTTCCTTCTCTCTGCTTCCTGGACATGAGGAGATGAACGGCTTTGCTCTTTTATATTCTATTGTGATGGTTGACTTTACCGCAGCCCAGACGCAAAAAAGTCAGCCAACTGTGGATGGAAACCTCTGTCTCTATGAACTAAAACATATCTCTCCTCATTGAGTTATTTTCTTCAGGTATTTCTTACCAAGGTGGAAAATCTTACAAAGGCTGCATTGTGTCTACCTACTGTCAAATTCATATTTTGAAAATTGAATCCCCAGGACCTCAGAATGTGCCATGCATTTAAAGAATTGATTTGAAACGAAGTCATGAGGGTGGGACCTAATCTAACATGGATTCCATCAGGAAGGGAAGTCTGGACATTGGCAAAACACAGGACTCAGTGTTGAGGCAGCTGTCTGTAACTAAGAGAAAGGATAGAAAGTACCCCTGCTGCCATCTTGAGCTTAGACTTTGAGCCTCCAGAATTACGAGAAAATAACTTTCTGGCGAAGTGTCTTCAGAGCAGTCCTAACTGACCAATACAGATGGCCAGAGGTGGTCGGGCTTATGTCTATTTTATGTATCCTAGATGGTACAGCTAAGGAGCCAGACATCTTTGGACTATGTGTCAGGAGTTCCAGGAATGATGTACCCTTTGTGGGGTGGTCACTGGTCAGCAGAGCCCCCTGACCTTCTGTTTTGCAGCCTGGTGACTCTAGCCACATACAGATCTGAGGGTCTGTATTCATTTCTGACCCATTGAACTACAGTGAGTGCTCAGGTGTTCTGCTGAAGGCCTTTGAGCTTACTTTTATAACTTGTAGCTCCACAAAACCAAAGGCTTAGAAGGTGCCTCCTGAAGGTTCAAGGCTGGGAAATTCCTTAGCTAATAGAGATTCCTCCAAAAATTCTCTGTACCTTACTCCCTCACTTGGCTTGCATCCTGTGGATAAGAGCTGTATCCTAAACACCAAAAACTTTCCCATGCTCATTAGAATATATAAGAGATTGGAAAAATACAATTAAAAACAGATCCCAAATGGCATTCTCTTAATGTGTCTGAGCTTGGTATCACATAGGCCTGAGGAGATGGGATCTGACTTCTATTCTCTGTGCATTCTTATGCAAACACCATTACTTTATACCACAGACCAAAATACCTTTTTAATAGTCTTTCAGCATAGAAAAACTGCACAGCTAAAATAGAGGGGATTTCTAGTTTCTCATCTCCTGTTTAAACACCTTCCCTACATACAGCCCCCTTAGATCCTTTCAAATGTCCTTTTAAACAACACAGGCCATTTCTCACCCCCTTTCCTTATTTTGATTCTGATTCTGGTCTTAGCGTGTTCATGTCATGTTATTAGGCTTTGTTAGAGGCTGACATTT